GGCCGAGGAAGCCTGCAGCGTGGCAGGAGAGACAGAGGTTGGAGGTGGTGGTGGAGAGCAGGAGATGGAGACCTCACGGAGACCGTGAACTAGCTCGTTCAGAACGACCCCAGTCGCGCAATCACCCTCTGCTGATCCACCACCAGGTTGTAGAGGTTGGGAGGTTGAGTAGCAAACTCTCTTACTTCCTCGAGCAGAGGAATCCTTGCTGAGTCTATTTTCAGGCGAAGTCTTCTTTAAGGGTTGTGCTCTGAGCACCGATGGTGTGCACGGAGAACAGGAAATGTAGGACCTGACTCAGGTGCAAAGATGGACTTGGTTATTTATTATGCCGTCAAGAAACAGCAGGAAGGCGTATAAAACACAAGAAAAAAAGAACTAGGGAGAGAGGTTCCTGAATAGTAAATGAGTAATACATAAACTGGAACTAAGACAACAGTACTATGTATTACTAATATAAAGAAACTAGGAAGCGAGGTTCCTGGATTACAAAAAGGAAGCACTGATCGTATAACAAAACGAACAGCACATAATTAGAGATTTACAATAATAGATGTGTAATGCAGGAGTAAAATCTAAACAAGACTATAATACAACAACAGGCTCATGAGGCTTACGAGACTTCCCACCGAATGAGTGCGAGAGTCTCTCTTAACCACTTAGCGCTCGGAGTCGTGTTTACTCGTGAACAATCGCCGGGCTTGAGTCCCAGATCCGTCTATGAACGATAACTCATGCGAGTCGTGTTTAACAGGGCAGCAGTGAATGCTGCCGTGCGTGCTGGCCCGGATTATTTTCACTGATGGTCGTTGGCGTAATGGGTGATAAGAACTGTACTGTTTAGCATCTAAACCATCCAGACACTGACTTGAGTTCATGCGATATACGATAAGGGTGCAATCAATTATGCTATATACATCTTTTACTTTTACAGATTGCGAGGTGACAGAATGACAGCGACATGAAAAAAATACTTACATAAAAAATTCTTGACAGTATGGTGACTATGGAAACACGGTTCGACGCATAATGGAATCTCATAACACACACACACACACACGTAGAGTGACTCTTTCCTTACACCGTTCTTGGCGCAAACTACACAAGATTCGCACAGTCCCAACTTTTTCGCAGTCAGCGGGTTGATCACTGCGATCAACACCGCTTATACCGTAGTAGTTATCAATAATACAACGTGGTTTCACTATTCGCTCACCCTGACGATTCCTCTTCACTGTTTCGCACATGTGGCCTGCAGGTTGACAGCATCTTCACAAGCTTTTTGTCCTGCTACAGCAGAACCAGCATCAGTTTGTTTGGCTGTCACCATGTGATCATGGTGAAAATGAATGAAACAAAATTTACAAACTGAAAGTAATGGAATGTATGCACGTTACTTCTTATATCACCCAAGACCAATCATAATGTCACATGAACTCAACCCATTGTCTGTGTTTAGACGCAAAGCAAAAAGCATTCATGATAACAGTTCTGCGTATTTAGATGCAAAGCCAGCAACGTGATAAGACACGGCTCCGGGACTCGAGCCAGTCGGCAGTAATACGAGTAATACACACGTTTCCAAGCAAGTTCAATAAGCCAACTGATATGAGATCGGGCAGGCGTGTGTTGCGGTAATGTAAATAAACGGGAAACAAGTGGTTAAATAGAGAACACTGTTGTTGGCACACAATAGGGAACAGTTGTGTATAATTAATTGGACTGTGGAATGTGGTGCGGGTCTTAATAGGTTGGTGAATTGAAGGGCTGGAGGTGTGGCGTTACATGTCTATTTGAGTTGATAAGATACTGTTGAGGTAAGCTCCCCATCTAGTGAAATTATGATTTAGAGAAATGGCAGATGCTTTCTAGCCTGGGAAAACCAGACTGCTACTTCGCTTTGCTTCGTACTCAGAGTCTGGACAGTCGTCATTGACAAATGTTCACTTCCTGGTGGGTGGGTGCTTGTCTGAAGTTTAAAATCATTGGTGTATCCGTAAACTAATCACTAAAGTTTGGCGATGACGTATGTTATGGGCCGGCTCAGCTGCCTGGTACTTCCGCTGTAAACACAGTCCTTCATACCAGGAATGCAGCGAAAACAAACTGACCAGTACATTAAAGTTAATACTCTACCCATACATATGCCCATCTACCAAATTTTAGCCTTCACTCGTTCACTTAAAAGAACCAAAGGTGCTCTTTCTGTTCTCCTTACAAGAAACAAACTGTTGAGCTATCGTTTCTCCTGCCGATACTGCTACTATTAAAAAAAAAACGTAAGAGACCCGAAACCAAGGGCAGAATCAGCGAGAATATCAGATTATTTACATCAGGACAAAATCTGCGTTGACATGAAAACTGAACTGTTAACTATACTTGTGCTGACATCATACCGAGCTCGCTATCTAACTTTATAGTAAGATAGTTTGCCTCTAAGCGTTTGGCTGTCTCAGACAGCCATTTCATTCATGGATAATGACAACATAACACTGAGACAGCGAATAGATCTTGTGACGTGAACAAAAACACAGCTTTTAAAAAGTTCGCTGCTAACTTAAATACAGCGCCCTCCATAATTATTGGCACCCCTGGTTAAGATGTGTTAAAAGCCTTAAAATAAATTCAATTTTTATTGCAGAAGCATACTCTCACACTGAAAATTGTAGAAAAATGTAACCTTCAACTCAAGTTAATTTTAAGGGGAAAAAAAATCCCTGACTAAGAAATAATTATTTTTCATAAAATCACCTGTTCCACAATTATTGGCACCCCTACAATTCCTAGGAAATAAATGTAATTGAAGTATTTCTGTCATTTCTACAGTAGTTTACAAAGTTGATCAGAGTATCTAGGAACATTTAATTAGTAATTCATCACTTCCTGTTTCCCTGGGGTATAAATATGACGTGACACAGAGGCCATTTCTCTTATCCACTCTTCAACATGGGAAAGACAAAGGAACACACCATTCAAGTAAGGCAGATGTGTGTCGACCTTCACAAGTCAGGCAATGGCTACAAGAAAATAGCCGCTCGCCTGCACCTGCCCATATCTACTGTCAGAGGAATCATAAAGAAGTTTAAAACAACTAGAACAGTGGTAAACAAGCCTGGACGAGGACGCAAGGTTATTTTGCCACCGCACACAGTGAGGAGGATGGTAAGAGAAATAAAAAGTTCTCCAAAGCTTAAAGAATTGCAACAAATGGTAGCATCTTGGGGTCACAAAGTCTCCAAAACAACCATCAGGCACTATCTACATGCCAACAAGCTGTTTGGGAGGCATGCACGAAAAAAACTTTTCTCACTCACAATCATAAACGCATAAGCGTCTGGAGTCCGCTAAGCGGTACTGGGACTTCAACTGGGACCGTGTGCTTTGGTCAGATGAGACCAAGATAGAGCTTTTTGGCAACAAACACTCTAAGTGGGTCTGGCGGAACACAAAAGATGGGTATGCAGAAAAGCACCTCATGCCCACTGTGAAGTATGGGGGAGGATCGGTGATGCTGTGGGCCTGTTTCTCTTCCAGAGGCCCTGGGAACCCTGTTAGGGTGCATGGCATCATGAACGCTTTGAAATACCAGGACATTTTAAATCAAAATCTGGTGGCCTCTGCCCGAAAGCTGAAGATGGGTCGTCACTAGGTCTTTCAGCAAGATAATGACCCTAAACATGTGGCCAAATCTACACAGAAATGGTTCACCAGACACAGAATCAAGCTCCTCCCATGGCCATCTCAGTCCCCAGACCTCAACCCCATTGAAAACCTGTGGAGTGAGCTGAAGAGGAGAGTGCAGAGGAGCGGACCCAGGTCGCTGGATGATTTAGAGAGATTGTGCAAAGAGGAATGGTCGAAGATCCCTCCTTCTGTATCCTCCCATCTTGTGAAACATTATAGGAGAAGATTAGGTGCTGTTTTGTTGGCAAAAGGGGGTTGTACAAAGTATTAACATCAGGGGTGCTAATAATTGTGGCACACATGATTTGATGTAAAAGAATTATTTCTTAATGTGGGATTTTTTTCCCACTGAATAAATGCACTTGAATTAAAGGTTGGATTTTCCTCTTTTTTCATTGTGGTCCTATATTATTTAGAAAAAAACTGAATTTATTAGAAGCTAAAGAACACATCTTAACCAGGGGTGCCAATAATTATGGAGGGCGCTGTAGTGTGAAATTCGCGGGCAATGTAACATTAGAAGCTACAAGCTAGCTGAGGTGGTTCGGCTGTCTCTCACAGAGATGAACAGGGTGCCTATTTCATATGTTTCATGATGGATATTAAGCAGATATGACAACTTTTCTCGAAACCTGTAGGAAGTAGCGCTACAACATCATTTGCATTCAAAAACTAACCAAACATTCATCTTGTTGTGGCTATAAGTCGCTGATACCCAGGATTTCCTCCATGACAGAGCGAATGGCCTCCCGTGTATCTATGTCCGTGGCCATTGTTGATTTCGGAGACTACAATTTCAAACTCGGCGCAGCAGCTACATCATGGCTCTTGCCCACGCCTTCTGTTCGTTGGTCGGTCTTCTCTGTTGAGGTAAACGAGGCAGAGCTCCGAGTGACCAGACGGAGTAGTGAAGCGAAATGAAATTAAGCGGAAGTACGAAGGCTGGCGGAGTCAGGCTAGATGCTTTCAGCAAAAGCAGCGAACATACATGACTTTCTATATGCACCACAATTTAGCTGAATAATGAAAGAACTCACATAAAAGAGAAGGGTGTCTTTTTTCTTTTCGATAGAAACATGAAGCCATATTCCTAAAAGGCAGTTTATGAGATATTTGCAGAATCAGTCACATGAAAGTATAATAATTCACATTCGGCTTGCATCATTGGTGAGTCTGAGAACATCAAAAGCTGCTGTTATAGGATGTTCAGGAAATGTGCTGCTTATAGCTACATTGTATTTCAAAATAAAGTTGTGAACAGCATTTCTATAATAATTTATTTTCCTATTTTCGTTTTAAAAAATGTGGCATCGGGTGCCCCGGTGGCTCACTGGTCTAAGAGCGCGCACCATAAAGGCTGTGGCCTTCCCGCGGCGACCCGGGTTCGATTCCGGCTGGGGTCATTTGCCGCTTGTCTTCCCCATTCTTCTCCCCAGCTTTCCTGTCTCTCTCTACTGTCTGACTTTCAAATAAAGGAAAAAATCCCCCCAAAAAAAATAATCTTTAAAAAATGTGGCATCTCCAATCCCACCCGAATCTGGAATGCCCAATCCGAGAACTATGTACAAGGCTTGCTCGTATGCAACCCCTGTTGCCAGCTCAGGAGACAGAGACAGTTTGCGGCTCTCCTCCGAAGCACGCGCCTGTCAGCCCCTGGATCTTTACACTCATTGGTCGAAACTATCGCAAGTTCAGAACAAGGGCGGAGGATACCCAAAGATGAGCAAGCTTAGAATCTCACAGACAAGCACCTGGCTGGCCAACAGGAGGCGCATGAGCAACGAACAAGGCAACTGTTTTTAATATCCTTCCCCCGCAGTCCCTTCCCAATTTGCATTCCCACAGCGCTTTAGCCAATCGTGCGCTGTTTTGAAAAAGCTGCCGACCACTGCTGGTTGATACGACCGGGGATCGCACCGGCGGCGTGGTTGTCACTACTGTTCCGCAAATGCTGCACCTTAAAGATGCACCATGCAAGTTTGTTCATTTTCACTTCTGTTGACACTCGAACTCAAACAAAACAGAGGTAGCCCGCCCCTCCCTCCCATAGTTCCCTCCCTCCCACGCTTCCATAACTGTCAACTCTTGTCGGTGATTGGCTGGGACGGTTTGTTATGTTATGGGGCACAGCCTGTGCCCCATGTGTTTATTTGCAGTTTGTGACGCCTGTGCGGTCTCCAGAGCCCGGGTTTTTTTTACAGTGAATTTAGGGGCAGGCATCTAGTGGATCGTGGAGAGATGTCGGCGAATTGAGACAAAAATATAATCACGCAGAAAGTAAACAAACTTGCATAGTGCACCTTTAACTGAGTGAGCTGACCTGGCAGCCCGTGAACAGCATTTCTATCATTAAAAGACTACAGTGGAGAGTGATTTAGGAACACAATGGCAGTTATTATACTGCAAATGAGGAACTATTAAATCTATCAATTTTTTGTAAATATACGGGTATTAAATTTGCACTGTACATCATATAAATCCTCGTGACTGTCTGTACTTGCTTCTCTCTAAGGGCTGACAAATTCTATGGGAACACCACTGTGGGTTGGACTGAACAGCCTGGACTTTGAGAGTGGATGGCAATGGAGCGACGGGCATCCATTTCGATACCTTAACTGGGCCCCAGGTAAGTGATGGCAGAGTATAACTCGATATGGATATTTTAAAATGTTAATTCAACATTTTAACTATCAGTTGATTTGGTATAATGTGTTCCTCTGAAAAAAACAGCATAATAATTGAAAACTACAATCTCAATTAATCTCCAGGTGTATCTAGTGTTCCATCTAGAGGGGATGAGGTTAAGACTGTAAATAAGTTAACTGCTCATTTGACTATACAGTTTGGGTAAATGGTATACAGAGAAAGTATAGCAGCGATGTAATCAACGCAACATGGTTTGGATTATGCATACTCAGTATCTGCCGCTGGGAGCACCATCAAGGATTATGTTGTGTGAGTGACAGGGCTTTTGTACTTAAAGGGCATCCATCTACTGAGCCGGGGCTGAACTGTGCTGTTCTAAACCCTGGAAAAGCCTCAAAATGGGAAAGCAGCAGTTGCTCAAAAAAGCTTGGGTACATCTGCCGCAAAGGAAACGCCACCAGTAGTAACCCTGTTCCTTCGGGTAAGAACTGTTGGTGCTCACAGTGTCTTCCTGACTTTACTGCAGTCAGAGTTTCAGATAACGGCTGATTATTCTTGTCCTTCTTTACAGGAAATGACCCACGAAACTTCTGTCCTGGCCACTGGGTGCCATATGCAGGCCATTGTTATTACCTCCAGCGCACAAAAAAAATGTGGAGTGATGCTCTCTCTGCATGCCATAAAGATGGGGGCGACTTGGCCAGCATTCACAACATTGAGGAGCAGAGTTTCATTATTTCACAGCTAGGATACTGTAAGTCCAACTTGCAGTCCTCTCTGTCTATTTCACTAACTCTCTCAGCCTGTGTGAGAGCATGGGTTTGACTGCGTGTGTGTGAGTGTGTGTGTGCCCGCATGTGTTTCTTGTGTGTATTATGCAGCCATATTAGTACTCAAAAAGTTACAATTTTTCCATTTGCAATATGAAATTTGAATCATTTTTTTCCCCATGGTAAGAGCCGTACCACTGAGTACCATTAGCTAGGGCAGCTAACCCGCAGTGTGAGGAAAGATGAAATGTGGCTGGAACTGACTTTTCTTGCCCCTCCACCACAGTGCCAGACGATGAGCTGTGGATTGGATTTAATGACCAGAGGACTCAGATGCTGTTTGAGTGGACTGATAGGTCCCACGTTACGTTCACAAGATGGCAGGCAGGGGAGCCTTCTCATGCCACCAACATGCAGGAGGATTGCGTCCTAATGCGGGGAAAGGTGCCATATCAGTTTACCCATGTTCTCTCTCAACATTAAAGCTCTGGTATCTGAAAGCAAAGCAGTGCACATTTAATTTAGCTCTTGTGTGATATGATATAATCTAATTAAAGTCAGCAGAGAAAAAAGCTGTTTTTTTAAGGAAATCTGTGTGGTTGTTTTTGGTCATTAGAAATAAGTCATAAATTAACAAACAAGCAAAAACTACCCACGAAATTCAATTTCAGTTAATAATTTGTTGCCATATAGAATTTTTGAAACACAAAATTTCAGAAGTACCCCTGAAAAATGCCTTTAATTTTGAAGTCCTAAAACCGCTATGACAAAACAGCTGAGCATGTCATTCTTATTCATCTGAATGCTAATGCTGGTGTAACCAGCAGCTCTTTGCTCATTAAGCCTCTGGAGCAAGATGAAGATATCAACAGTCTTTCAATGGGGGCAAATAGTTGAAATCCAGATCAGTGGAAGACAAAAAAAGCAAAAATATTTCAAGTGGCGAGGGGAATAGTATCAAAAATTATGACAATATTTGGCAAAAAGCAGGGGGAAAAACAGCAAAAAAAAGAACTGAGGCTGCAAGTCAATGCTGTCTGACAGGGACAGGATAGGATAGTTCCTAACGGTTATCGCTCAAGAAATTGAATTGAATCAATCTACGTCTCATTGTCCCAATAAAAAGAGTATGTGGTGAGTTTCACAAAACTGTATTATGACAGATTTTTCAGAGATTTTGTGTGAATGAGTGTATTTGTGTTTGTGCTCTGCAAATAGGAGGGTAAGTGGGCTGATAGCCTGTGTGAGAAAGAGTACGGCTACGTCTGTAAAAAGAAAGCTTCGATTCGACCAGCTGGCGCACCAGACGATGTGAGCCCAGGATGCAAACCAGTGAGTTTTAATAGTTCCCTGTTTATTTGAGAAAGCCGATTTGTTTTTTTCCCTCAACAATACATAATACAAATTTGATTGACAGTGGCTAAATATAAAGCTCTCGGCGGTTTGGCATGTTAACCTTCTAAAGTCTTGATTTGAATGCTGCATGCTGCTGTCTGCTTTTGGAATGATAGGTACCTATACTATTGCCTTACTAGACCCCGCAAAATGTCTGCCCAACAAAGACATGCAGCAATCATAGAAGATCAACAGGTCTGCATAGATGTGGAATGTAAGAACATCTCATTGTTGCTGATGTAGTGCAATGCTGACAGGACAGCAAAGTGAATTATTACCCCCTGCTGGGGGAAGTTTTTTTTTTTTTTTGTCGTGTGTGGAGGAAATTCGGAGCTGGTCACTGTGGCTTTGGAGACTTGATGCTGACGCAGAATTATTTAATCACATAGCGCGTTCTAATTTTTGTTTTCTTTTATATCTCATTTCCGTTATGGAGCAGTATCGCTACGGGGTGATATCAGAGCTTGGGTAGTGAGCTGAGAAAGCATTTCTTTTTCTATTGCTATGTTCTAGTACAAAAGCGGCACTGTTGCACTGTAGACTTAAAAAAAAAACCTTTAACCTTTTTTTTCTGTTTTGTGAGAGTCCCCTATCTTTGAATTTTTGCCTTTTATATATTAAATCTCATAATGAGAACATGGATTCTGTGAAACCGAATTTCGATTAATGTGCAGGAAGCTCAGGGAGAATGGGTCTATGAGCACTAATCCATAATATTTTGCCATCTTGTAGAACAGTCTGATAACAAAATCTGTAAGTGTTGAAATCTTTAAAAATTTAATCTTCAATTTAACCCTTGTGTTGCCTAAAGCGTAAAAAATGACCTGTCACAAGTGAAAACCCCATCAATGATCCTTTTTAACCTTTAAATATTATGACTTTCCCAAAAGTGACCCCAACATTACAAAATGTTAAACGTTGTCTGCTTTTTATTTGCATGACAGCTGTACTACACCGGGGTTGAAGTATTGTCTTAAGGTCACCTTTGACCCGGCAGTTATGAAATCATTCATACACCACAAAAACTACAAACTCGCGTAAACACACGCACACTCACACACACACTGACTCTCTTTCTCTCTCTCTTCCTCAAAGAGACATTGAGACTATTTGTGCCACTGAACTCAGACAAAATAAACATTTCTTAAAAGCATTGTTTACTAATGGGGAATGCAGTCAGAGGCAGGGTCATCTGATATAAAGGTGCTGCAGATGAGTGTACCCCCTCTTCTCTGACTGCTGAAGCAGTGAGTGCACATTTCTGGCCCCCACAGAGGAACTGTGTAACAGATACCATGTGCTGCACATGTGAGAAAGAGTACATCTGTAGTGAAAGTCCATGCACACAGACTTGCATACTGTCCTAAATACGTGTGCTAAGCAGAGTTGATTGAATTATGTTAGGGAGTTCCCGATAACGTAGGTTAATGAACAGGGCCACTCTCAAAGCGCCTTCCTATTTGTTCTCACGCCTATAAATACCTCCTACATTCCCACAACCCCCGCTCGTCTCGTTTCTACATCGTTTACTTGCAAACCAGACAGCCAGCGCACAGCAAGAGTTCGCTTACCTGAAGCATGAAAGGCGAAA